TGCTGTATCAAAACTTTTTGAATTGGTTGTCATAGAGTCCCTTATAGAGCATTGCAAGCAATATCTAAGTATAGATCAACATGGATTCATAACTGGGCGTTCCACAACTACGAACCTGCTGTGCCTAACGTCTTACATCACAGACAGTTTGATTGCTCGGACCCAAACGGACGTTACTTACAAAGATCTTACGGCAGCCTTCGATAAGTTGAACCACGAAATTGCGAACGCTAAGCTTGATAGGCTAGGGATTGGTGGACATCTTTTGAGATGGTTTCGTTTATACCTCACGGAGCGCCAACTGACAGTAATTTTGGGTACTAGTCGCTCAGCAAGCTTCTGCGCAAAGTCCGGTATACCTCAGGGTAGCCATCTGGGACCATTGGTATTCCTCCTTTACTTCGCCCACTCGCCGACTGCCGTTCTCTCCAAAATCAGATTGACATATTTGCTGACTGGTGTAGTCTAAACCGACTGGTGGTCAACCCAGCTAAGTGTACAGTCATTACTTTCTCACGCAAGAAACAACCGATTATTTTCAACTACAAACTACTATTAGCAAACCGATTGGGACACTGGAAATCTTGGACGGTGGTTATATTCAATTATTCCTAATGTTTCTTCGAGAGCGTGGTTTAAAGGTTTGGGCGAGGGTTTGGGCTTAAGTCGTGACTTCATTCGCGTGATGAGTAGACTTATGTCCAACCACTACTCGCTAGATGCGCATCTCAATAGAATAAACCTCGTGGACAGCAACATATGTCGGTGTGGAAACGGTTACGACGACATCGATCACCCAGTTTGGCAATGTACGGATAATGACGCCGCCAGAGAGCGACTTTTGAATACCCTCGAGGCCCAAGGAAGACAAACCTATATCCCTATCAGAGACGTGTTGGGTACCCGCGATCTCTACTATATGCAGTCGATTTATGTGTTTCTGCAAATGTCTAGTATAAGAATTTAATTCGTTTGTCTTTTGTATCTCTTTATTAGTTTTTGTTTGTCTTGTCCCCCGTCTCGATGAGTCTCATCGTCGCCCACTGGTCACCATAGCCGGTCGAACTCCAGACGAATCTAGAACCACACTACCGTTCATACTGGCGACATCGCTCTGATGAGACAACGAAACCCTACCCCCCAGCTCCTCCCCTTTTCCTATCCTTCGACAATGTACCCCTCTAACCTCGAGTAAGCTGCGAGGATACGGCCCAACTTGAGCCTTACAAAAAAAAACGAACTAGATAAAAAAAACTACAAACTACTAGGCACGATTATCGAACGGGTGCATTGCGTGAAGGACTTAGGCGTTTTTCTAGACTCAAAGCTGACATACTCACACCATATATCGTATGTGGTCGACAAAGCGTCCAGAACTCTTGGCTTTGTCTTCGAGATTACTAAGAACTTCACAGACATTTACTGCTTAAAATCGCTCTATTACTCTCTCGTACGATCTACGTTGGAATACTGCTCTGCAGTCTGAAGCCCGAACTACAATAATGGGGCCGAGCGAATTGAATCTGTGCAACGACGTTTTCTTCGCTTCGCGCTCCGTAAGCTAAGGCAGCAAGGCGGAGATACCCACTTCGTCTTCGAAGCTACGAGAATCGCTGCCAATTGATCAATGTCGAGCCCTTATGTAACCGAGAGATGTTTTCAGAGCCTTAACCGTCGCCGATACTCTGCAAGGAAGAATCGACTGCGAAGCAATTCTGCAACAAGTGAACATTAATGTTCAACCGATCACTACGCAACAGTTGAGACTTCCACTTCTTCGAACTAATTATAGCTTAGGGTACGGCCAGAGCAGACGCGATTCGTGACGCAACGCGACCAATTCAAAAGAATCTTATTATTTATTATTATTCCTTGCGTGAGTCGCGTGTCGCGTCTACCCTGGCCGCGGCCTTAGGGAGCGCTATTTACGATTTCAACTTGTCACGGAATATGCTTCGCCGAAGATTCTCTGCCTTTTTTGCTGACCGAAGGCGCTTGACACTCAACAGCTAAGTGTAAAATTTAAGACCTATACATTTTTAGTAACTTGACAATGCTTTCCTAGTTCTTTTCGTTTGTAACTGTAGTATATATAGTCTATATGAAAATCGATGAAGAGGATCGATCATCGCGTAAACGCCCTTATGCATGCTCACTGTCGAAATAACTGAAACCTCGCGTAACATTTGAAAAGGGCCTATCCTCGTTGATCGATTCTCTTCATCGACTTTCTCTTTGGTTTACTACACACCTATTTGTTACTGCTGGAAACCACCAAAATTTTGCCAGTGTTTTAGCAGCTCTTCAGTCTGAAACAGCTAAACACCCCTGGATCCGCAGTTAGCGGTGGATCACAATCACTATATGGAACTGCTGGACTAACGAATGGATGCGATCTAGAAACTTATTTATCCGGAAGGTAAAAGGGGATACCAGGAAATGGGAGGATCCACCTGAACACCGACTTCAAGTCATTCTATCTCGGTTGAGAACCGGCCATACCAAAGTCTCCCACAACATGGGAGGCGGAGGCGGATTCAGACAACAGTGCGATACGTGCAATGTTCCACTTACAGTGGAGCATTTCTTATGCGAATGCCCCCAGTACCACGGACCCCGTTTCCTTTACGGGATCTCAGGTAGCATCAGGGATACCCTGAGGGATGACCCATCCAGTATCGCTGCACTATTCTGCTTCCTTCAGGAGGCAGGTCTGATTAACCAAATTTGAACACGCTCGTTGCGGACAATGATTTGGACTCAAAACTATACCTCGGCAACAAATACCCCCCCTTATTCTGCGAGTCACGTGACTCTCTCTCACCGGTGAGGTGACAATAGTCACCTCGTGTGAGGTGACTCTCCATTTGATTTACATGGAGAGTCACCTCACACGAGGTGACAATTGTCACCTCACCGGTGACAGTGAGTCACGTGACTCGCAGAATAAGGGGGACTGACTCGGACACGGATGAACGAAGATATTGAACCAAGCAAAGCTCGTACAAGGACACGGAAATGGACGAATGACGGCACTAAAATTAAACACAGCCGACTACAAAGGAACAGGACACGGAACTTGACCACTTGACCACGGTTATTCAAAAGGACAGTAACATCGGTCGGTAGCATTAAAGGAAAATTCTCAACTCTGAAATATTAAAACTCTGTTATTATGGAGACTCCCTTCTGGAGTTCCCGCCCATCTCCTAACTCCGTATCCTCGGGGTTCTCTTCTGGAACCTCACCTCCCCTTCCTATTAGCTCTGTAATTAGGGGGACTCCCGTCTGAAGTCCCCACCCCTCGTTTTTAAGAGATGAACCAGCCCAAGGCTGAAAATCTCTCTAATGAAGCAAAAAAAAAACCAGCAAAATTTTGCTGGCTTTTGCCGAGCTGGAAATTCAGAAGATGATGTTAGCTTGCGCCTGAAACAGCACACTCAATGGAAAATTCTTTTGCAGTCGGGTTATCGAATGATAGGCCCTTTTCTTGTGTTGCGCGTAAATGTTCCTTAAATCTGACCATAAGGATGGCCGATGAGACTAACTCAGAGAGAGAAAGAGAGTCACTTCTAAGAGAAATTTCTAAAAACGCAGGTCACGCAGCGCTAAGGAATTTCTTGTTCATCTGAGTTGAAGTGACTCTCTGAGTTAGTATCGTTGGTCGTGTATTTTCATCAAATATTTTAAATTAATTAGCGAGGCATGCCTGTCGCTAAATACATATGATGTATCTTCTCCATATGCCTGAAAACAATTCGGTATACTTATAGCTTAAGGCACTTTCTTTCATCTACTTCCAATCACAGCATGACCCGTTACGTCGATTTCCACCATTAGATTTATTCCAATAAATTATTTCTCACTTTTGTATTTTTTTTTTTGTGTGCTGCGTATTACCAAAAACAATCAAAATAATACATTTTTAATGACACCATGTAATTCGAACCTCTGCTATTGCTTCCACATAGAACCGAGAAAACAAAACAAATTTTCAGCAAAACAGCCACATTTTCAATGTACGGCGTGTGCATGGCAAACTGAAAGAAAAAAACTTAAGTGTTTAACGATACAATATCAAAATCAGCATGATTAGAATGGAACAGAACAACGCTCGGTGTGTCCATTCCAAACAATAGGCTCTATTAATTAGTAGTACAGTGCTGTCAGCACGGAGTAAACGCATGCCCGTCCAATTTGGTTTCCATCACTAACGCCACTCAAAGGGGTTTCTCATTAAGTACGCTACTTACGAGTACTATTATGTGTCTCTCTCTAAACTTATTGAACTTTTCTTTTTGCATTTTTGTTTTTCGTTTTTACTACTAACTAGTTTATTATCATTGGTTTGTTTAAGGTTTGTTGTATTTGCCCATCAGCGAATTTATTGTTTCTGGGCTTCAATTGAAAAGCTTATGTGTTTGTGTGGGTGTGTGTGTGTGTGTGTGTGTGTGCTTGCAGCTAGCCGAAGAACGAAGGGGACACATGCACGGTTGGTTAGACTAACAAAGGAATAGAGTCAATTTTACTGAGTTGTATGAGAAATTGGTTGGTTACTCAGCGCTGAGTTAGTCTCATCGGCCGGGTAGCAAACGAACCATAGAATGTGATGATGTGCCCTAAAGATTAGGAGAAAGTTGCACGAACACTCAAACTCGATCCTTGGTTGGTTTTTGGCGAGTGATAAAAGATATCAGAGTAGGAAGCAAAGGTGTTGGCTCTGCGAGGAAAACAATGTTAGAGCAGTTACAGACTTACTACAATTGACGCTAAGGTATATGAATCCGGGCGAGATGATTATGAGGTAGTACTTTTAACTACATTGTTTACGCGTATGCTTTGTATGGCTGTCGTTTCCGAGATGATTGTTTTTTTTTTGTCTTTTGAACATACGCAAGAACAACGAGGGATTTTTGTTTGTCTTCTTCTTCTTTATTACTTTCTCTTTTCCTTGCCGTAGTAGTTTGAAAGTTTCACTTATCATCATTTAAATTAGTCGATTTTAAATAGATAATAAATAAAAGAATTTATTTTTTCAGCTTTTTTTCCGAAAAAAGGCCCCCACTCTGCCTTTGTTTTCGTTGGTTCAAGTTTACAGTGTTGTACACAGACGGGGAGAGGAGCCCCTTTTCGCGCTGGATGCCCGCAAGCGCTAGCAAAGCTTACCGCTTTTTTGCTTGTATTCCTAACACTAATTAAGTTACTAATGCTCTTAACATCTTAATTAAAATCATACAATTATTACAAATGTATATGTTGTGAAAGTTTTGGTTTCGGTCTTCCTGATCCTTTACAAGTTGAGGAAAACTCGAAACTAAGGACGAGGCGTAAGTAAAAATTGTAGGGGGAACAGAAGTTGAAGTTTTGGTGTAAGTTCACTGCTCTTTCACTGCCAGCTGCGCATGGGACATTCTCTTGAACGAGATGCCAAGCACTGTCTCATTCTGCGTGTTTTGCATTCTCTTTGAGCGGTTCGCTGGTTCGTGTCGTACTTGGTTCTTCGAAGAAAACGGGGCTGGTTGGTTGTTTTTGGTTGAATGGTCGTGGGGGTGCCTATTTACTTAGCACCCACGGCCTTCATCAGTCCATCGGTGGACATGGATTTCGGGCGTTCGATTGGCAGACCCAGGGCGCGATCCCAAACGAGCGAGGCCAACACACCGAGAGCACGGGAAACGCCGAACAGAACGGTGTAGTAGTTCATTTCCTTCAGTCCGTAGTACTGCAGCAGAACACCGGAGTGGGCATCTACGTTGGGCCATGGGTTCTTGACCTTGCCGAGTTCGGTCAGGATTGGGGGCACAACCTTGTAGATGTTGGAAACCAGCTGGAACAGAGGATCGTTTGGCAGGTGCTTCAGGGCGAACTCGCGCTGGCAAGTGTAGCGAGGATCGGTCTTACGCAGGACGGCGTGACCGTAGCCAGGAACGACCTAAAAATAAATGTACAATTGAGTTAGTTGAATGTTATCACCGAGAGAATGGATTTAGGATTCGTACCTGTCCGGACTTGAGCGTCTTCCAGATGAACTCCTTGACCTTTTCTTCGCTGGCGTTGTCGCCGAGCTCCTTGCGCAGCTTCTGCAGCCACACTAATACTTCCTGGTTAGCGAGACCGTGGAGTGGACCAGCCAATCCATTCATACCGGCAGCGAACGATAGGTAGGGGTCGCTCAGAGCGGAGCCAACCAGATGCACGGTGTGAGCCGACACGTTACCACCCTCGTGGTCACTGTGGATGGCCAAGTACAGGCGCATCAGTTCGGTGAACTTTTCGTCTTCGTAGCCCAACATTTTGGTGAAGTTGGCAGACCAATCCTTCTTGGGGTCAATGGCACCGATGCCCTTACCATCACGGTACGTGTTACGGTAGATGGTGGCAGCAACGACTGGCAGTTTGGCAATCAGATCCATGCTGTCCTCGTACACGTACTCCCAGTACTTGCTCTTGTGCACACCCTCGGAGTAGGCCTTGGCGTACTTGCTCTCGTGGTTGAGGGCAGTCACGGCACAGCTAAGCTGTGACATGGGGTGCAACGTTGCTGGCATGTTGTTCAGCATTGTCACAACGTGCGACGGCAGAGCGGCACGATTGGCCCATTCGCGCGACAGGCCATCGACCTGGGCCTTGGTTGGGACATCACCGGTGATCAGCAACCAGAACAGACCCTCGGGCAGTGGTTCAGCGCCACCTGTGGGAGTTTTGGAGAAGGACAGTTGGTGAGATTGTGCTGTGCACAGGTTCGCCCCCTAAGATTGGTACGAGGGTTCACTTGCTTTTTAAAATGTGTTTACTTGCTAAACTTAGGTTTTCTATTGGTATTAGGTATCAGTGAAAAATATTAGAACTCGTAAAGCAGATCTGTAACTTGATCTCACGGGGTTTGAATTTCTTGATAGCACTTATATTGGGTTGCTTACTTTGTAATCTTGTACATTCATAAAAAAAATAAAAATAGGGTAGAGAACTACTTCGGCCTAATCGCCCATTTTGGGCCTATCGAGCAGAAAACTTCAAATAAATCCATGATTTCAGAGTTAACAAGTCAATTATGCGTTTGGTACGATACTTTAGTAAATAAGCTACGGAACGAAGTCAATGAGAACGCGTGATATGAAGCTTTGCGCCCATAATTTCCAAAAACAAAAGAAGCGCTCCGACAAAATCAATTTTTATCTTCATCCGATAGGCCGAAGTCAATTCATTGGCGTTTCAATGACGTTTCAATGCGTTAGGCCGAGTTTGGCATCAAGAAGCAGTGTTAGACTTTTGACAATATCTCACGTTTGGTTTCTCTTTATCAAATCTTACGGTACATACTGAAAGGTAAATAAATTTGGAAGCTGGCCATATACCAGAATTTGTTACCGGTTCACCCATAATATTCCTTGTTGCTTTTCAAATTCCCGTTTATTTCCGCCCAACAAACAATTTGGACTGATTAAATGCTGAATAAGCCTTTTTTAGAAGAAGACGAATATGCATATTTTTGCTTGAATAAGCTCTTATGCTGCTTCCAATGTTTGTTGGGTGGTTCTCCTGGTTCGCTGGCCACCCTGACTTTTGGTACTTTTATGGTTGCGAAGAGAATCTAGACCAGAATCTGAAGACCTCGAAATTTCTGTGTATTTATCGATCCTCTCGAGAGAAAAGTCGCCACCACCAGTAATCTTAGCAGACTGGACATGACCGACTACGGCCAAGTACGACTGACCTCATAAGTTTTTTTTATTAGTGATTCACTATCTTTGCAACAAGCCTGTTCTAGCAGAAAAGCAACAAAAATCACACCCACACACGCGGTGCAACAAATGCAGTTAAACAAACTCCACGAACCGCCGCCGACTAACAGTCATTGAAACATTCGAATCGGTGCTAAGGACGCCTTCGCCATCAGCACGAATTGAATCACAAATGACTAAACTAAACAGCATCTACCAGTGACACTGAATGTGCATTTCAAAGTCATTAGGACGGGCTAGCCGTAGCTTCCTAGTGCATTCGCAACTGAATGTGCAGTGCAGTGCTGTTTGCCTCAAGTGCCCAGTTGGCAAAGAAAAGTCAAATACCATCGTCTATTACTTAATCCCTGGCTCTCGATACTTTGCCGGTGCTAACTAGCTAATACTCTTGCTGGATATAAATAGCCAGTTTAAACTAGTAGTACGTTTCTATTCTCGTAAAAAAAATCAAGCTACAACTACCTAGTAGGGGACGAAAACATACCTGGAGCTTTTGGAAGCACCTTCTGGCACTCGGGAATGGATAGTCCACGGAATCGGATACCCTCATCTGGGTCGAGAACCGAAGTTTCACAAACCAGACCCTTGATTCCGCGCATGCCACCGTACATCTGAAAGAGAAGGGGTATTGATCAATTTGGTTGAAATCGGTCATCGTTTGAGCATTCTGTTTTTGGCAGTGGAATTCCGATTTCGAAATGCAGATTGTGTAACCACTTGATCCGAGCTCATTAGTTCAATCATTCCTATATTTAAAAAAAAATCAAGGTGATCCGGATGATTCGATAGTCTCTCTTTATTGAATTGAAAACTGGTTTGCAGATGTTTCATGCAAATACAAATCATCATTACCGCATAGTGGTTCGTGACGACACGACTTAGTGCCGGCCATCGTCATTGAACTTGACTTTGTCGGTTACTCGCTGATTTGCTTTATGCACTGTATAAGTACGACGTACGCAGACCAACGATAATTATTGCAATTCTGGGAAATGATTCAGTTATCGCTCGAGGCACGCGGGGCGGGACGTGGTGCAACGTTACAAATTCAACTATGAGAACCATCACGCTGCTGTCGAGAGGGAGAGTGAGATCTGACATTCAGGGCTGCAAGGTCTTTTAAGATCGTCGATATATTAATACTATTCTACTGTGTTTGCCTGGTCAGTCGAAGAATGTATTACTACCAGACGATCGCTCGTTGGCACACAGAGACGAGAACAGGTTTTATCCGTGCTTCGATTTAAGGGGATTGTCCGGGAAACTTTGCAAAGGTGACTATTCAGAAGATTACACATCGATAAAATTTTATCAGATAATAAGCGTATGGGTAACTGTATTTTCCGGAAGAGGATTGATAAGAGGGATTTGATTTGCAAATCAGCTGATGGTGACGTTATATGACATGACATTCGTACCTACCGTGCAAGCACCGTAAGTTGAACAATGCCTAATTATAGACAGTTCGATGTAAACCCGATTTAATATTTGAATCAGCGAGTACGAATTATCTGCTGGATCAGGCTAAGAAGAATATTTGAAAGAAATTGAGACAACGAGAAAAGTCAAATACCATCGTGGAGTGGAGAATACATAACTTAGAATTTGATACCCCTCAAAAACCCCCCCAATACAGTTACGAGCAAAATTCACCTTCAATCAAAAGAAACCCAGATCAAAGGGGGAAACGTTGTATAGCTTAAGTGAAATGTGATTACCACTAGGGTGACATGCGATCACACAACGATCAAGCGGAAAGTTGTCGTTGTGATTCGATCACCCATCCAGAGCCACAGCTACTGCAATCAAGGCTCGGATGTCACATCACTCGTGACGCGTGCATCATGGTGCAATAGGTGCAATTGAATTACGTCCATTATTGGATGTATTGTTTACCGCTGGCCGTCCGTTTGATTACCGCGACACACAGCACGTACGACGACGTGGGAGTTTTGCTTTCCACTGACATTGTGATTGATTGGCGAATATTTCATCGATTGATAATTCCCGTCGTCAATCGTTGGCGATATCTGCGAGTCTTTTTCTAGAAAAGTGAAATTCACTACGGCCGCGGCGAAATCCTCACATGACCACACCGTCATCGTGCTCGACAACCAAAATTTCGCTCGCATAAAAAGCTAATTTAAATTCATTCATTCGCCACTTCAAGTTGCGCCTCGGCTTGGGAATCCAACATTCTAAAGCTTCAATCAAAAGAAAGAAGCTAAAGGTTATCAGCTTAGGTGCAGTGTCCGCGTGCCGGCTCAGCTCGCCACATAATGCGGGGTGTGTTGTAGTAGGACACGGCATACGGTTTGTCCTATCCCCGGCGGTGGAATTGCAATTGACTTTCAGTATCATTTTCTATGACTGATGAATGACGTGTGGAGTGCTGCACCTCTACCTAGTCTTTCTGCACCGTGTTCGCTCATCCTCCACTATCTGATCGAGAACATCGATGCACACGCAACGGGCTATGTTCCTCTCTCACTATCAGTGTACTATTTAACTAACACGGAATGGGAATGGCAAAACAAATTGGAACACTTTGTTGTTGCAGTTTCGATAAGAGTCTGTTCATAAACTAGTATAGATACTGAGTGGGAGGGGGGTCTAAAATTGATCAAAAACTTTACTGCCCATGGGCATATAAATGTTCCATGTGTTATGGGATTTCCTATACACATGGGACAGGTATACGTCCACCGGCACTACACGAGTGATTCAGAATGCAAATCTTGTCCACTTGGTTGCAATCAAGGTTGCTGCCATTCATTTGCTAATAAAAAAATGCCATCATTAAATGTTGTGGCTACATTTTGCCCTTGTAAGTTACAAGAAGGGGTTGTAAACTATTGTAAAGTATGTGTTTGACCCATGAAACCTGTCTATGACGCATTCGGAGTGTCAAAATCAACGATTTTATGATCGGTGAGTATTCACTCTTACTCGATCGCATACATGAATTTCAGACTCTCTGAAAGTGAATTTGACAAGTTTGGTGTGTTGGTTGTACGACATTTCGCAAGAATTCCAATTTTTCCCAAAATAACCCGTTTCGCGGAATCACTTTTGGCGGAATGTTTGATTACTAAAGTATTTTTTTGATATTTGATCTCAAAAAAATCTAGGAGAATTTATTTTATTGTAAACATGAGCAGTGTCTTTCTAATTCTGAACTTTGGGATACTTGTGAGTTTCTGGCTTAGAATGATGAATGCGAAATCTGAATTCGATATATAATTCTAGGAGCATTTTTCTTCTTTTAAACATGAGTTGTAGTTCTTATTACCGGTCTTCGAAAAAGTTGTTCTGCGTTAGTAATAAACGTAATGTGCTATGAACTTTTGGCAACGTCTATCTTTACTATACTGCCTATAATCGCATATCAGCCCCATAAGGATTTTCGTCAATTTTGAGATAAAGAGATGAACTAGCCAAAGGCTAAAAATCTCTTAAATAAAGTTTAAAAAAAATGAGATAACAACGCTATTAACTATCAATTGGCATCTAGTATCATATTATGTGATAAAACTTGGTACTTTGATAATGAAAAATGTGAAAACAACATCAAGTCAGTTTGTCCCATCAAGCAAAATAATTGCATATCAGTCCCATCCTGAAATTCAATCGTCCATAATTCAAGTTCATGTTTTGCTTTTCGAATTGCCATATTTTTCACTAATTTAGCAAACCATTCAAGCTTCATTGCAACAGATTTTAACTTGAATAAATGATCAATAAATTTACTATGATTTTTTCAAATATTTACATGGGAATTGCACTTTGTAACTTCGACTGCTATTTTCTCAATGCATACTTTTTTCCATATGGGATTTTCATTACAACTTACGCAACACTTGAGAAAACAATCACACATCCAAAATTGAAGCATGATGTGCTTGTAATATGTTTTGATTTCGATTATATTATTCGATATTCGTTATGACCACCGACGAACCGACATGCCACTGTAGCATTTCGTTTGTCCGCAATTCGATTAGTCAAATGAGCGATTCGATCTGTCAAACGAGCCGAGACGCAAATCAAGTCAATATAAATTTTACGTGTGTTCGTGTCCTTACTCACTATATGACGCGATCGGATGAGTAGATGGCGGTAGTGTTTAACGCTCGGTTTAACGTATGGAGTCTTGGGCAAGAATTTGAATGTAGCTTCTATGAGCTGGCACGTCGGTTCGTCAGTGATAAAACCACCGACAAACCGACATGAAACTTGAAGATAACTTTTGCTCAAAAATCTCTAACGACTGATTCAAATGTGCCGCGATCCGATCTGTCAAAACCGAGAAATTTTTACCTATATATAAACGGAGATGAACTAGCCATAGGCTCAAAATCTCCTTAATAAAGATAAATCATGAAAAACGGACTTAAATCATGAAAAATGTGAAAACAACATCAGGTCAGTTTGTTTCATCAAGCAAAGTAATCGCATATCAGTCCCATATGGGACTGATATGGGATTAAAGTCAGTACAAAGCTAATCTAAAAGCATAAATAGAGCTACTGTCTGATAATTTCAGTGCTTGATACTGAAATCGTCGGTTCCATGCAATACTGTCACAAGAGATTTTGATGGCAAATGCAGGGCTGTTACAAGATTTTCTAAATTTGATCCGCGAAATCCGCGATTTCTCAAAAGAAATCCGCGACTTCAAATACTAATCCACGACAAAAAAAAACTGTTTTCATTGTCTAAAAATAGCATTTGTATACTACTACATGGCATTTCAAGCCTATTGCTTATATAGTAGCATATTAGATTTTTGCCTGCTCTCAACTTAGTGTTCTTTGAAGTACTTTCACATTTTAATTGAGAGCTTTCTATGCCTGTACCATCCTATGCCAAAGAAAGTAGAGACATTTTCTAACCCGAAAAATTAATAGACCGGACGGGAATCGAACTCAGTCGCCTCCAGCATGGACTTGCTTTGTAGCTGCGCCTTTACCGACTGAGCTAAAAGAGTATCGTTTGTAACCTTTGATTTTTTTTTAAATAGCATTTATCATCTTCAGTTATTTATGTATAGTATAAATTCTGAGTAATTAGTGAACATAATAAAACACCCTTACATTATAAGATTCTATTGAATAATACCGGCCTAGATTTGATGAAACATTATTTAAAAAAAAAATGCATTTTCATTTGCAATGCATTTTTTTTTTAATTTAACCTTTGCGTCTCTGACGTATTTAAACCAAATACCCTGCACAGAATCGAGAAATTACCATAGTTTCATAAGTCACACTTGTTGGTCACGTCACGGTTGTGTATTTACACGGATATTCCTTGAGTTCTGTCCAATGGTGGGACATTTTCATGATTTTTTTTTATTTCTAATGTGAACCTAGCACTTTTTGTTGTCATAACCGAATCGTATATATGTGACTTTATGGATCATGCACGACTTATTACTATGTATACAGGAAATTATAGGTTTTTCAAATCGTCCAGGACATCAGTTGATTTGTTTTACTAGATCAACCAAGACTGCAATAATGTATGTAGTATCGAAAAATGTCCAATCTGATTCAAAGTGTCTATGTGGATCATGCATGATCTATTTCCGAGTAATCCAGATGTTCAA